TAATAATAAAAAGTCCAAAGTAGTACTGTGTTTAAGTCAGTGGCTTTGTTTTTTCACAATTACATAGAAAATTTGGATTTGGATATTTCTACTTGGATGTCAAGTAGTTCAATCAAATATATTGCAAAACATTTGCCCAAAGGGTATGAACCAGTAGAACTATCAGACAAGGTCTGATTACCATGTGGCTTTGGACATAAGGGGAGAGGGAAGTTTGCTCCATATTGCTGTTTCTTCTAATCGAGACCATTAACTGTGACTTCAATGGTGTATGGAAAGGACCCGCTATACAACATTTGCTCGAAGCCATGCCTGCATGTTCCTAACCTTTCAATCTTGAAAACACACATTCTGCCTTGATGTTCCTTTAATTATTTGGGAAAATACTTTGGAGCTGAAATAAGTGTTTGAATCCAAGGTTTTTCTTTAAATATTAGACACCTTACTTTTTGCAGATGCTAAAGTATCTAGGCAGATACTAAAGTATACAATATATACGTATGGTAAACACCACATTTACTCTCTTCTTTGGGTATTTCGGGACATTGGCTAATCTTTCTACACTGTTTTCTCAGTTGCAAAATGAAGAAATAGAATACTGGCATTGTTGTTTTCTTCTGATGATTAAGTCAAGTATAACACAAGGAGAATAATCTATAGATAAATTTTTAAATGTTCATACTCTTTTTCCTTCACTGTTATATTTTACATTTCAAATATTAAATTGTATTAAAATAAATCTCCTGTAAGGAAAATCTCTTAATCCCCATCTTACAGATGATGAAACTTAGATAGAGTGGTTGAAGTGATTTTACTAATGTCAACCCCACAAAGTAAGGAAATTAAGATCAGAGCTTGGCTGCAGTTCTGTGATCTACTCTACATCATGCCTTTGTAGATACATGCTATAAATATAGTATTAAGGAATGATGCCACCATTTTTCCTGACTTTCTCTTAAAATTTCTAATCTGAAATAACTGGCATCATGACACAGGTCTTCACCAAATACTGTTAAATTAATTGTTAAAACCAAGTGCTAAAATTCTGTATAGTTTTTTTTTAAAGATTTATTTATTTATGTATACAGAACTGGGGTACAGGCCAGAGATGCAGAGGGTGAGAGGATTCACCAGAGACAGAGGGGGGAGCAGAACAGGCAGATCCACGAAGTACACTGCTGAGGGGAGCAGTGGGCGGGTCTGGAGAGGTTTGCCACGCCATATGGTCACCTCTGGGGCAGGTGGGGATCGAACTCATGCGGAAGTGGCTTAAGCTTCTCAGTGCTGTACTTTAACCCGCTGCGCCATATATTCTTTATTGATACTTTACCGCAAAAACAACCTCAAAATCTTTACGTGGTCAGTTTAGCATTTAAGAACCTGCACTGATCTGCCTCCTGAACTCTTTCCATCCGTATAATACCTTTGCTATTTATACAAATCTTGCTAAGCTACGCTCGGTAAAAAATGGGACCTGTTTTATATTTTTATCTTACTATGACTTAAAGTTAGTGGGGATCTAATTAGCACTGATGGAATGAATAAATGTGCTTCTGTCACTGTGAGCAGCTTCTCTATTTATGTGGGACCTAACTGCAGACCCTGTCTCTCTGTGGCTCTCGTGTTTTCCTGTATATGGAACCTCATCCCCCCATCATCCATTTCCCTTGTCTTGACACCACTAACTATTGCCTCGTGTATTCAAATCTATAATTTCACCAGTGCCATCTAATCTTTGACTAAAATGATTCTGTTTGACTAATGATGTATTTTTTTCCCTCATAGTGATGATGGATTCTCATTGATTTTTCTACACTAACATTTGACACTTCTCATTAGTAAATGTTGTTGTTTTGCATATTCAGGAAGGAAAATCATACTTAATGAACATGATAATTTGTAAATGGAGGTTTAAAAAACTACTACCACAAATCTAATGTACATTGTATGTGCAGGGACATCCTTTTTAATGAGTGAAAGTAGTTTTCTTCCTATCATATAAACATGTTTTTCTTCTAATGAATGAATATTTTGTTATTGCTCTATCTTCAAAATACATTTGATGACGTATATAGCTTAATAATAACAAAACTTAAATGTCAGAAAATTTGAGTCTTGCTCTCCACTCCACTTGCTGCATGATCTAGGGGAGTCTCTTAATCTTTTCTTACTTAGGTTTTCTTCTTTGTAAATAATATGACAATATTCATGTTTGGTATTTGGGGTGGTATTCTGTTACCTTCTTACCCAATACACAAGCAATAGACAAATGGAACCTAAAATATTGGTTTATAAGTGGCTAAGTAAGTAAACTAAAGCCACCCAGATGCAGTGCTTCTGTGCAAATGTAATCTAGCTCCTGAGGGAGGCCTGGAAGTCTAAGTGAGGCTACCCTCCCCACTTTCCTTGAATCAGAGACAGGGGAAGAGCTGCACAAGGTTTCCAACCCACAGACAAGTTGCTGGAATCAAGAGCAAAGTTATGAGTGGGGTCGGTCCTAAGCAGTTGAGGCCTGCCTGGGTCTGATTAATGCTCAGAACAGATCTTTTAAGTATGAATCCTGAGAACAACACTACAAAGTAGAAGAGAGACATAAAGCATGCCAAGTATGGAAAATGACTTTAAGGCATAGTAACCTGTCCAGCAAGGAAGAAGGAAAGGTACAGCTATTCTCTGTAGACTGGCAGATGTGCATGAGGCAGATACTAATGCTGAAAGTAGAAAAGCCACTCTCACTCCATCAATAACAAAAAAAAATCAATAAGAAAAAAAAATCCAGGCTTTAGCTGATAAGGCTTTACATGGGATTAAATAATTTACTAATGTTAAAAATACCCAGCATAGGCACAATCTGAAAGCCCTAGTGACCATGACTCTAGATCAGACAAAGTGAAGCCATTTTTTTATTAGGTCAGAATTATTACGAGGATCATTGTACAAATGAGAAAAGGGAGTCTCCCCCCTCTTTTCTCATGAATTTCAGTAGGGTATAAAAACCAATAATGACAACATCACAAACAAGCACAGATGCAGTCAAAACTTCCCTTGTAATTTAGATTTAGAGACTCAGAAACATTTGTACTGAAACTGTTGTGGAAAGGGCAGAAGATAATCAGGCTGTTCACTGAAAATCAAAATGTTACTTTAAGCTTCCATGGTAGGGAAACCCAGGGTGAGCTTGAAGAATATGGGGAACATGCAAATGAACATTTACATTTAATGCTATTATTCCTAAGTATGATTTGGAAGCCATTATTACTTAAATTTTCCTTATAATATGACTTCATGCAGTGATCTCTAAATACATTAACAAATTTGGCATACACCCAAAAATCAAGGATTAGTTTCACTTCAATTTGAACAGGGTCATATAGTAAAGCAATTTAACTGAAAGTCCTTATTTCTTTCCATTGAATATAAGGAAAAACATGAAAGTTCTCCAAATTGTTACTAAAAATAGTCAAAATGAATTAATATTAGTAAAGTTTAGGACAATGGTGTAAATATTTAATCTACAGACAGGATAAACAGTTTATTTTAGATTCAAATGCCTGTTCTCTATTTTCTGCCAAATTAAAGTTGATTCATTCTTGAACTTAGATTCCTACTTCTGGTTTCACATTCTCCATTAAAGATTTATAACCACCCAGATTGCCTATATGATATAATAATGACAAAGAACCCCAAATTTCAGTGACCCAAAATCACATGGTTATAATCCCAACTCATGTTGCATGTACTTATCATGTGATACTTGGCTGTTCAGGGTCCTCTTTTATAGGCCTTTATGATTCATGATTATAGAATCAAGGAAAAAAGAACAAGGTGAACTAAGTATTGCCTCCTCTTGTTTCTATAAAAAAGTGAGACACATCTCTTCATTCATTGTGTAATGAAATTTACATGTTTATGCCTACTTTCAAAAAGGTCAGAAAAGTACATGTTTATCATATAACCAGATGACAAAGAGCTAGACATGCTGGTGAAACCAGAATGACCACTATAATAAGACTCTTATTGTTCCTCTTTCATACCAAGTCCACAAAATAAGATGATAGAGACAATTGTTAATCTAAGTAGGCTGAAGATTTATGTATCCTCTACAATATACTTAAATGCAATAATTTATATACTTCACACTTAAAAATACTAATATATTCTAATATAAGTATATAAGTGATATTTCTACTTAACAAAGGAAACATAGACCATAGACATCACCTGCTTTCATGGCTAAATGTCAGTGTGAACAGTAGAGATAGATGTAACAGACTCATTTCAGTTTTAATTGTGCCCCATGCAATTTAAAAGTATATATGTAAATATCTATATAAACATATGTACTTAAAATATAAAATGCACTTAAATACTTAAAAATAGCTTAAGTATTTGAAAATAAGAAAATTACCCCTTAACTCAAATTCAGCCCACTAAGTAAGCCAATCAAACTATATATTTTTTAAATATGTATTTATTTATTTATGCATACAAAAGGTGAAGGTTATACCACAAATGTGTATGTTGGGGGTGGAAGGACAGTGAGAGGATTCACTAGAGACAGAGTGGAGAGCAGAACAGGCTGATTGAATTAAATATACTGCTAAGGGGAGCAGCGGGCAAGCAGAAGAGGTCTGCTGTGTGATGTGTCATAGCTTTCTGGCTGAGGATCGAACTTGTGCTACAGTGGCTGTGAATAGCTTGATAGTGCTGATACTTAACCCCTTGTGCCAACAGGGAGGCCCCAATCAAACATTATTTCCTAAGTGATAAAACAAATACTTTCACTTTTTTTAAGAATTAAAAATTTCCCATAAAACTGTGGGAAGCTAAGTTTTTTGAAGCAATAAATGAAGATGAGGGAAATGGAAATAGGAAGCACAGCTAGGTATAAGAAGAGACATTTAAATGAGTTGCCAGAACTGCTGCTCTTTTATCATGTCTCTGCTCCAGCATTATTTTAGAATATTGAATAAATAAATGTGTTACATTTTTTCCCTTAGGAAAATATAAACATCGATGAAGCCTCCAGATGCCTGGTGAAACATATACTTGCAAGCGAGTGTGACCTAATGGAGTCCATTGAGCCAGATGTTGTGAAGCCCCATCTTACATCACCCAAGGTTGTCAGCTGCTCTGGTTGTACCAAGTCCTAGTGGGATTCTCTGCTGGAAGATTCGGGAAATCATCTCATAACCTCTTAAAGTATCCTCAATTTTTACCATTGTGGGTAAATGTCAAGATAGGGATACACATGTGACAAGACGATGATTTAAACCTGTGTCTTTCCTTTTAGAGAGAGAGATAGCAGTTGAGGCCTCAGGTCTTAGAGAAAGGGCGATGGTACCGACTTGCTGTCAAGTTAAGCATAGGCATTCACTTTGCCCTTGGGGTCTTTGTCCAGATTCCTATATATTCTCTGCTGGTTTGAAAGACCTACTAAGTAGACTCAATATTTTCTCCAGTGATGACCTCCATTCACTACAGACCTGAGAGCTATCTCAATTTAGCTCTCAGAGTCACATACACAGGCTTGCTGGGCTTTGTTGCTGTTACTGTCAGTTTAGCTGAAAACTGTATGAAAAGATATGCCGTTTATCTGTGCCTTTTTGTTAACATTCTCAGATTCAAGTTGTGGAGCTCTTATGTATGTGTGATATATATTATATATATTTTCACAAATGAAAAGTAAAACATTAAAAGATGCTGTTTTCCTGTTTCTGAGGCTGTTTTAATTTTCTTAATACTGTAAAGTTTTTGTTGTTGTTGGACTGTGTCATGATATTTCAAGAACTATTTCTAAAGTTTCACTTCAATGAGATGCATTTAAACAAACTTCGGGCACATTTAAAACTGAAGTAAACCCGTTGCATCTATGTCTAATGTTTACATTCACATTTAGCAAAGAAAGAAGGTAATGCCTTTGCTTTCTTTGTTAAGCAAAGAATTTTACTGTGTAAAAATATTACACAGTCTAACTAAGAAAATTACCATACCAATCAGCATTCAAAGAACCCATTCAAATTTACATGGTGATGTTTTGCTTTACATAATGGTTGTGGTGCCAAGATACTGCAGATAATTACAATTGTCAATGAAATTATTTTCCATAAATATTAATAATACACTCACAGAAGTTTTATCTTTTAAAAATGTTTTAAGTTTATTTTTTATTGACACAACAGTACATTTTAATTTTTTAAATTTAAGATGTGCATCATAATAAATCATCTCAACTCAACCAGGACTTACTAGTCGCTCATATATGAGGTAACCAGTGCTGGCCAGGACACGTTTAACCTGGCTCTGCAAGGAGAGTTGGGACATGTTTAGAAAATACAACCATCATTCAGGGCTGAGGGTCAACAGCATCATTTGTTAAGCTACACCCAGGTATGTGAAAATGGGTTACCTTTCAACTACTTATGTAGGGTTCTCTCCCTCCTGGAAGTTTTATGACAATTATGAGTCTGTACCTAATTCTTTCCTTGTCTAGAATAATGTCAGTCTAGTGTCCACAGGATGTCAAGGTAAGATCTGTTAGTGATTTATTCCATCTATTCAAACAGAACTTTGGGTAGCTCAACTTGGGTCCAGTTCCTCTGTTCAAATAGGATGTTGGGGATCCCCTGGTGATTCAATTCCCTGCTCACACAGGACTTGAGGCAATTCACGTATTACGGGTTCATAATTTCTTTCATGTAGACCAGTGAATGAATATGCTCTGATAGTAAACACTGCTCAAAATTTCCAACAACAAACCACCAAATTATTTTGTCTCTCATTTATTTTCCTTTTCCTTTAAACCCTTTTTTGGTGCTTAGTTGTGGAGTCAGCATGTGAAGCATTTATAGTGTAACATTTTCTTCTATTACTACCTGTACAGGTTTTAAAAATAAAAATCATCTGACAAAACTTGTGACTGTACAATTTGGTACATCCAAGTAACAAATCTATTGAGTTCATCAATACATAATTCTCTTCATATAGTGTTTTAATACTCTCTGGGTAATTACTAAGATGTTAAGTAACCAGATTATACGTAATTTTATTTTTTGAGGAGTATCTATTCCCTTTTTCATAATTTATTTCATTTTTATGGAGTGGAACAATTTCCTCTGTATGTATGCCTGTGTGTGTGAGAGAGATAGCAACAGAGAGTAAAATAACAAGAGGAGGAAGGGAGAGACAGGGAGGAAGAAAGATTTATGCAGTACAGTAGTAAGCTCACCTTTGGGAACTGATCATAAAAAAAAACTAATATTGAAAATTAGGCAAGAAGTCTTCATAATAACATTTTTTAACTAGGAAATGCAAGGTTGTCTTCAAACTTGGGTCCTAACTGTAACCACCAGGGGGATTTTAAAAAATACTGAATCCTGAATCTTGTACTCAGAGATGTTAAAAAAAAAAAAATCCTGAGATCCTAATTAAGGTAGAAAATCACTACTCCAAAAAGCTAATCAAATGAGCATGACCATATGCCCCCAGGATTTACAATTTAAGGGAATTTTGCACAGTGAAAAAATTACAAAAGTTAAGTACTACCCTACTTTGCAATTCAGCACTTAATTTTGAATGTATATTTTTTCAACTCTGAAGCAGTCTCAGGCTGCTGCAGGAATCTCTCAGGGAAGAGATTTCTCCACTATACATGGTAACACTATAGCACAAAGACAATTCTTTTTGTGTGTGATGAGGTACAAAGATGAGCAGATTTTGCTGTAGAACTCTGAGTGATTCAAGATTCTATAGAAATGGAAAAGTTTTGCCATGATACTGGGTTTTCCATGAAGCGATAATATGAACTAAGAATAGAAGACAGAAAGTAAGAGATTTTCCCAGAAGTAGGTGATCTTGTGGAAGGCCACCAATAGAGTTAACAGTACATGGAATGAGAATGGTAGGAAGAAAAACATCAAATAAGAAAGTTATGTTTTTTCTCTTTTGAAGATTCATATTCCTCTAATTGCTCACAGGCCTAAAATTTCTACTGCATTATCTTTGCTCATTCCCTACCTAAAATTATTAAATTTTAACTACAATGTGAGAGGAAACCATTTTTTTTTATCACAGATATTTAAGTTCTCCTACCCATATTACCTTGTTACAAAACTGTGATCCCATAACTAATGGTGTTATGGTTAGATGTGGAATTCTAACATGTAAACAGTTCACCATCTATCGAGAGAGAAGTCAGATGTCAAAAAAAGATATCTGTCTAAATATAATTTGTTTCCAAAATGGAAAAACATCTTACTCATGGATTGGAAGAACTGACATTACAAAAATATGCATCCTACTAACATCAATTTACAGATTCAATGCTATTATAATAAAAATTTCAATGATATTCTTCATGAAATAGAACAAATATTGATGAAATTCCTGTGGAACCACACACACACACACACACACACACACACACACAAACCTCAAATAGCCAAAGTTTTCCTCACTAAAAAGAAGGAAAATGGAGGTGTCACATGTCCTGATTTCAAACTATTCTTAAAAAAAACCATAATAATTAAATGGTATGGTACTGAAAGACAAACAGACACACTGACCAATAGAATCAAATAGAAAAACCCATTTAAAAAAATCCCCATATATATGTGGACAACTAATCTTTGACAAAGGAACAAAAAATATGCACTGTAATAAATATACACTGGGCGGTTTGTTCAATAAATTGTGCTGGAAAAACTAGACTTCTAGCTGCAAAAAAATTGGCAGGTTTTTTTTGTTGTTTTTTTTTTTTTTTTTGCATTTAATGCAACTGATAAGGGACTAAGTACAAAAATCTACAGAGTTCACACAACTTAATAAAAATACTCTGGCCAAAAAAAAAATGGACAGAAGAGCAAAAAAGACAATTTTCCAAAGAGAAAATGCAAATAGCTAACAGATATATGAAAAAATGTTCAATATTGCTTATAATCAGGGAAATGCAAATTAAAACCACAATGAGAAATACTACCTTATACCAGTGAGAATGGCATCCATTTAAATACAGGCAATAATAAATGTTGGTTAAGAGTAGAGAAAGAGTAATTCTCCTATACTGCTGGTGGAAATGCAAACTTGCTCAACCATAATGGAAAGGTGGAGATTCTTCAAACTACTAAAAATGGGGATACCATATGATCCAGCAATTCTACCCTTTGTATCCACCCAAAGGACATAAAAACAGTAATACAAAAATATACCTGCACACCTGTGTCCCTATGTTTACTGCAGTACCATTTACAATAAATAAGGTATGGAAACAACTTAAATGTCCAAATTGTGATGAGTAGATCAAGATGTGGGGTGTGGGGTATGTGTGTGTGTGTATGTGTGTACATACATGTGTGCATCTCACCTTGATCTGCTAATCAGATTTTGGGCATTTAAGTTGTTTGTGAGTGTGTGTGTACACACATGTGTATGCATACACATACACACAGAAAATATTATTCGGCCCTCAAAAAGATAGACTCATGTCATTTACAGTAACATGGATGGAGCTAGAAAAGCTCAGGCTCAGTGAAATAAGCCAGAAGGAAAAGGAAAATATCAAATGATTTCATTTATAGCAGAAATGTAGGGGAATCATTTAAAGAATCAGGAAAAAAAACTAATATTAATAGTAATAATAAATCAAAACTAGCAGGCAACTATGGATAAGAGACATGTGATTTGAAGGGGAGGAAAAGGGATCAGAAAAGGAGAGAGAAGAACAAAAATATGGTGAAGGCTCATGGGTGAACTGGTGGTGGGAATTTATGGGGAATACAAAATGATGTGAAAGATAAATTTTAAAAATATAAAGTAAATTTAAAATCTTTTAAAATTAAAGAAATGAATATAATTTTGTTTCTAAATTCAAGGACTATGACTCCATTCATACTTAAGGAAATAGGCTACATGTTGTTATTACTATTTTTTCCTAGAACACTGGAATTTTATTCAACTAGATCTTCTTGCTGTTTATAGATATTTATGATATTCTATTCATTGTGTTCTTGTGGATCAGCATGAGACAGTCTGGTAGTCTTGCCAATCTCTGTAGGTAATTCAAAGTTCTTCCCAACATGCACACTCCTTTTATTTATTTATTTTTAATTATTAGTAAGTTAACATTGGTTTACAATGTCATTTGTATTATAGAAGAAGCATAAAGTCCCCCTTGCCCCCTTTAAGTGTTGTTTCATAGTACATGAACTACCAAAACACCCATAGTTCAACACTGTAATTCATTGTGCTCACTCCTGGTTTTGTTCTCTTCTCGTCTCCCTTGCTTTTACCCTCTGGTAGACTCAGATTTTTTTTTTTAATTTATTTATTTATGCATACAAGAACTGTGGTGTAGATCAGAGATTCATGAAAGGGGTGAGAGGATTCACCAGAGACAGAATGGTGAACAGAACAGGCAGATGTACTGAAATACACTGCTGAGGGGAGCTGTGGGTGAGAGAGGAGAGGTCTGCTATGCCATGTGTGTCACCTCCCTGGCAGGCCGGGGATTGAACTCATGCTGCAGTGGCTATAGATAATTTGATAATGGTGTCTTTAGCTTCTGTGCCACTGAGGCCTAATAACCTCAGTTCTACAGTCAACTTTCAAATTTTAGTTTTTGACTGGCTTTATATAACCCTCTGGTTTCTTTATATTCCACATATAAATGACGTCATCCTATTCTGTGTTGTCTTTC